AATGCTTATCGATCTTCTTATGTAAACACATCTATTGTTTGTAAGCGTTTTAAATGATTTTCGGAAGGTAGGGAGTCTCGTAAAGCCAACACAGGGAGAGAAAGGAAAACGAATAGTGAAGTCTGGTCGAGGGGAACCTTATCCTTAGGAAAAAGATATTACACCACAATTTGGCGTTAGTTATGGCAGCATCAATTCAATTTGGAGAAACAAGCTGAAGATAACAATGGTTCATGTGCGCTGGGTGTGAGTTTTTGAAAAGAAACGTATACGTAAGCAGTCAAAATCAAAATGTCATAATGACGTCATTATCTTGCGCCGGTACCATTGCACTAAGCAATTAAGGATGATTGATTTGGGATACCCATTTAATAGATACATAGACACATGCCAATATTTTACAACTATGTTAAATTGATCTCATTATCTGTACAAACAAAATTAATATAACGAAAGTGCATGTATTTTTATCCACCCTCGTAATTTGTATTACAGCGAAACTCCATTTTTGCATACATACATACATACATACATATGCAATCCTTATGATTCAGTTTATTATAAATTATATTTAAAAATAGCTTGTGATAGTTTGCATTTTTAGACACTCAGTAGAATTATATCGACATTGCCTTGCGCTGACTAGTTTTTTTTCTACAATTTCAACATAACATTACAACGTTTTTTAGATGCTTACATCTTATTGTCTTACACTAGTGTATGAAGTTTTGTAAACAAGATCAAATCAGTATGGTATTAACTGTAACTGCTGTAGATTTTATGTAGACTATTCGTTGACAAAAATCCAGCCTTTGAAACTAGACAATGTATACTTCGGTTCTATAGTAAAAATCTACTTGTCGATCCGAGAGTTACATACTGCACTGATATTAAGCGTTTTGATTATCTCCATTTGATAAAATAAAAGCTGTTAACATGCAACTTAGATAAATTGCAAACTGTATTTATAAATTTAACTTGAAATTTACGACATGTAGAAATGTAAACGATAGAAAGTACACAACACGTTTAAAATGCTGTACATCAATTAACACTCTCATGTTGACAACACCACACTTTCCTTTTACATTCTAATGCGATTAAAATTTGTAAACGAATTTTGCAACTTCCATATATGGCATTATCACGGAAATAGACGAAAAATGAATAGGCGGAGCCAATGTTCACGAGAGCAGAATATTGGGCTGTGAGTCGTACATACGCATAAATTAATTTTGCATGAAGTTTTGCTTATTCGGATTATTTGTATTACCTTTTACCTCAAGCGCAGTAGTTCTATATGTGGAGAGCATATTGACAAGTAGATGTTCTATAGAAAAAGGGAAAAGATGTACCTTATGATTCTTAAAATTTCAAATTGACATTCAAAATATTATCATCGGAGAATTACAATACAGCAAAATGGCTACTTTGCGAAACAGAATGGAACGGGACAAAACGGTACAAGGGGTGTCATGTGAGAGAAATACAAAAAATCAACTTTAAATTCTTAAGCTCCATGTACCATAATACTAAATTAAATTAACCGAATATAATCATTGTCGAATGATTTATAATTTCTGATGAAACTCATTATACGCCAGATGTTAAACAATATACCATATTTTGTCTAGTTCCATTTTGTTTCGCATAGTACCATTACCCACACAGGTATTGGTATAAAACTAAATAAACACCAATGTAAGTATAGACGATATTAACTAAAATATACAACGGAAGCGGACGTTACACGGAAAAAGTGATACATTTGAGCCGTGTCATGACAAAACCAACATAATGGGTTTGCGACCAGCATGGATCTAGACCAGCCTGCGCATCCGCGCAGTCTGGTCAGGATCCATGCTGTTCGCTATCACTTTTCTACTTGTAATAGAGTTGATAAGCGAACAGCATGGAACTCCATAAGAACTTCATCCTTCGTGTAACACTTCCTCCCCCGTGATCACATAGGAAATCAATTCCATCTGGAGAAAATATGTACCTTTCCCGGCATTCACGAGGTGTCAAATTATCATTAAGGTATGTTGTGTTTTCTCTATATTCCCTTTGCGTTTGGTATTTGTCACAGAAACAAACAAAGCAGCCATTTTGATTTTTATTGTTAACCACTAACAAAAAAATTAATTCACCTCTTGAGGTGAATTAATTTTATTGTTAAATCCTTGTTAAAGCCGATGTTTTAACAAAAAGATAGCGCTATTTTTTTCTGAACAACTGCTTTTTTTAACAAAGATATTTAACAAGAAAATTAACAAGACTTTGTTAATTTAACACACATTTAACATTAAAAATGTTTGAACAACAGAATTGCTTAACAACAAAATTTAACACAGAATTTAACAATTTGTTGTTAATTTAACTATGATTTCATTGTTTAATATTTAACAAAAGTTTTGAACAACTGGGCCAATATGTTCAAAATAAAACTTAAAACTTCAATATAAATAACTTGAAATAACTTTAAAATATCAAATAACTTTAATAAAATGAGGAATAGGTCAACTATGATTGTCTTTGCACTATTCAAATATATGGACTGACATGCTTCTTTTTTGTAACTGAACAATATAAAGGATGTTTACCGTAATTTTTTAATTTGCAGTTTATGTTGACCTAAGAAAAAGTATGTGTGAATTCATTGATCGTTCGGTGTGTTGATTGTGTTTATTGGTCACTCCCTACCCTTTACCCACGCTACAGTTCTCCGTCCTGGTGTTGGTGAATATGTACCCTACTATTTACTGAACATACATCTATATGTATCAATCTTATCTTTTATTTATTTTTTTATTTGTTATAGAGAGAAATGAAAGAAATTGAATTAAAAGCATAAAATTATTTCAATTATTAAAACACAATTTAAATGAAAACTATTGCAGTTAACATTGTTTGAGAGATAGGAGGGTTGTACATGTAGTGTGGGAAAGAGGGGGTATGACCAATCAACCAACGAAACACCTTGGTTAAATACCCGTTTTAAGAATACATTGAAAACATAGCAGTATTTTGTAATTGATCAACCGTTATCAGAAAGGGGCATATGAACAACGTATATGTGAAGAACTGTTATGATATTTGGTAAGCACAGTTTTTAGGCACATTATTTAACAATTAAATAACACATCCGTCTTAAATCTTGATTGACTGCTGGCATGTTCCCCCCCTCCTCCAGATCTAGTGCATAATTCAAAAGCTTCTTTATTGCCTTCCGTATAATTATTTCTGTTAATCATCTGTTACTAACTCTACAATTAAAGAAAAGGTTTTGTGGTTAAGATTCTTTTAGAATACCTAAATAAAGCCCAACAAGACAAAATTGAAAATGTTGCAGGCTCGGTTTGGTTAAGCCTGTTCATGGACGGTAATGGAAAGTGCAAGTTACCTTCCACGCCCTCTAGCACCGGCTTAAGTAGAATTCAACATTTAATCATGGTAATGGTGAAATTTTAAATTAAGAAACATCCGCAGATGTTATCATACGGCGGTTACCATGTAACCTTCAATGTGACACTTTCGTGCCATTCCATGAAAGCGACGTATGGTCCCCAAGTAAAAGAATGTGTGTGCCCTAAACGAGAAAACAATGGGGTGAACTAAATAATATGGAATTTTGACAGGGGATCAGGGGTTATGAAACCTGCACATCACAGATATAACGTCAAAAGAGAAATTTAAAAAGCAGGCAAAATATCCTAAGGGTGATTCAAACCGAGCCTGCAACATTTTTCGATATTGCCGTTTTCGGACGCTCTTACGAGGTTTTAATTTTTAATGTTATATACCTAATTTCTTATTGTTCCTTTATGATAAATAACAATCTATTCTTACTTAAAACAAATAGTGTAGGAAACGAGGACCGGTTAGCAGGACCCTACCGGTCTATGTCTAGGAACAGTAAGTTTTATATATCAAAATGTTCACAAGGGTTCGCAGAATACGAAACGGTATTTCGTTTTTACCCAAATGGTACCGTGAAACTAAGTAACCGTATTTTCAATATAATTAACTTTATTTTATGTAAATAGATTTTGAAGTTTACTTTTATTTAAAACTCATCTATAACAAGTTTATGTAATTAAAATCGATTCCATAAAGTTCTTTAACGAAGCGATTCCTAGATATCACATAGTTATGTAAAATGTTCAATCTTTTCTGAATCAAGACCCTATTCACCCAGGGTAGAGTCAACGATTGCAACGTTCCCTTACCTTATTTGCTTGTTTGTTTGTTTGTTTCATTTAACGCCTTTTCCCAACAGTATTTCAGTCATATAGGCGGGTAGTTTCCTATTGGTCCTGGAGAGTTACACCAGTACTAGACTACCTTCCTCCGTGCTAAACTACCAAAGCATCTCCCGGGGATCGAAAGTAAAGCTAATATATATATGTTACTAAAGATGAAAATTTTGTCAAGCTAATGCAAGCTGTTTGCACATACACGTTTTGAATTACACGGGACTTTTTTCATTCAATGTGGCTGACATAAAATACATGTAATATTTTAGAACCAAAAACCTAAGATCATAACACTTTCCTTAATTCATACACAATCTACGCAAGGAAATAGTCATCCATAACGGATGAATGTTGTTATTTTTTACACCATGTGCAAAAAATATCGTAACCAGCCCTTTTGAAATTCGAGAATAATATTTCAAGCCATATCTATAAAAACGATTTTGAAAAGTGTTGCGTTACAAGTGTCTAATTCTCTTAATTTTCAGACTGATACTACTGTGAATAATGCATATTCATATGCAATTCCCCCAGTAATTTGTCATTAAGAGGCAAGCAATGCGTAAGGCTTAAGGCTTTCGTCACAGGATGAATTGTACAGATATATTTTCAAGCCACACTTACAAAATGCATATTTTAAATAAAAGTTTATCAAATGATGAACTTTTTGTTCATCGAAAACAGGAGAGTTTCTATTTCCTGTTGAAGTTGATACAAAAAAATAATTTTAACAATGTGCTCTTCTTTTTCATGTCTGTAAAGAACAGTCTACAAAACGCGATTTATGTAATGAAATCTAATATTAAACAAAAAACAACAAAAACTTGCATGTATTTTTGTCTTACAAGGCAATGAATGGTGAAATGTTTCTGGAAACCCTGCTAATTATCCCAATCTAGGCTACTGTTCTTCATACATGAGCTGGCTTATTCCTTTTTCGATTTAAACGAAAGTCTTGATTTTTCAAAACTTGTAACCTCAAATAACGTACTTGCTCGAACATAGTTTGTTGCATCTTCCATATCTTTTTCGGCATCATTATTTTTTGAACAGCTAATCTTGCTGGATAATATAAGTACATTCACACCTGCAGTTGGTAAACTGTCAATAAATGAACAAAACGATTCAAATGTAAGTGAAATATTCAAACATGTAACCATCTTTATTGATTTTTGATTTTCCTTATTTAGTACAATCACACTATCTCCGAAGTCAACATTGAAAAATGAGAGCCGTTCCAAGAAATGTAGCGTTGGAACGGTATTTAAAATATTTTTTATCTTATCTTTTGCCTTGAAATCTACTAAGACAACTTCTGCTAGTTTCGGGGCATTTTTGATATCTTCAACTACTGTCTGCACAGCATTTCCATTTGTATTGTCATTAACGACTAAAAATTCTAAGTTTTTATTATTTAATCGTATCTGGTGAGATCCATGTTCATACAAAGACTGTAATCGCAGATATTTAAGATCACTGTGTTTTGTAAGGTCTAACTTATTTCCTTTACACTTATCCAAATGTTCTGAGCATTTGACGTTACAAATGAAAAGCTGGGTTAACTCTTCTGTTTTCGAAATAAAGGAAAACATTTCTGAAAGCTCCTCGTGTTTAAGAACGATAGCAAATAGTGCTAAGGATTTTAGGTTGTCTAAACCAGTAAGAGCCGGAATTCCTTTGCAGTAAGCTAAGGACAAACTAACTAAAGATGTTTTTGATGAAGATATGCAGTTTTCATATAAACTCATGTCATCTGTTGGACTATCTGGATATGAACCTTCCTTTATAACCAGCTTTTTTAAATTCATTAATGATGCCAACTCTGCGCAATAAAGTTCTGTGCTGACAGATTTCAAATGTTGGCTAGAGGCCATTATCAAAGGGCTCACCTTTGAATTACTTTCATCGTCAATAAATATATCCGATAAGGGTATATGAATTGATTCTGTATGTTCACTTGGACTTTCTTCTAAACATTGTAGTAATAATGCCTGCAGTGCTTTCAAGGCTCCTTGTCCGTTTCTCTCTTCCACAAAAATATCGCTTTGAAGATTACAGAACGGTTTCAGCATAATAAAAAGTTCAAATTTGTAATGAGCTGATTGTCTGTAGCTTTGGACATTCTTATCAGATGAGACAATATTTTGAATATCATTCGAAATCATTTCAATAATTGCAGTCTTCATTCCAGAAAGGAAGATAAAGAAATTTTCATATTTAAGAATATCAAGTACAGATTTTAGTTTTGAAAATATTTGTTTAACTTTACTCTTTGGGTCCTTATTCATTGCAATATACAATGCTGCAAAAAACTCTTGATAACTTTTGTGAAGAAATGTTAGTTTCATCAATCGCTTATTTCCTGGACCAATAGCTTTGTTTTTTGATAATATTCCTACAAACAAGGAAAACTGCATCTCTACATCGATCAATCCATATCTTCTCCCAATATCTCGTTCAAATACGAGCACTGATTCATTGTCTGAAAAATTAAAAAGCATTCCAAATGCAAGGTGACCAAGTTTGAAAAGAAAGCTTTGAAATTCAGTTAAGAGATCATACTTTGACAAGAAACTGAGTGTTTCGTGTTCAACTTTTCCATTTTCATTTTTTACTCGATTTATCATTGCCTGCTCAGTTTCCTGATTTGTGTTTCTTTCAATTGCCCTTTCAAATAGCATCTGAATGGTGTCACCATAAATAACACATCTTGAAAAGTTCGTACGTTGCTGATCCTGAAACCATAAGGTAATTAGCTGTATCTTTATAATAGGTATCTTTGAAACTTTTCGTATTTGTTTCTGCTTTTCAAAAGACTCCCGATATTCATCAACATTTTTAGTTGCTTGATACTTATTGTTGAGATGGTTTATAACATAGCACGTAAGTTTTTCTGAAGCATTGTTATCAAGTCCTTTCAATTCTATTTGTTGATCTACTTCTCTTGTTTTAAGCCTGTTTGCCTCAATCTTCCATGGCCTTGTTGTTGTCAAATACGTTAAATTTGTTACATATTGTCTGTCAGGAACATTTTTACTCAACGTGCAACATGACGGTTGATGTGTCCATTCATCTAAACCATCAAGAACTATCAAGCATTTTTCTTCATCTAATATCTGATCTATCAGTTCTTGGTCAGCTGCATATTTTAAGTGCTCTTTGATGATTTTCTTGACATGACAGAAATATGATTCCCTAAGAGAAATAAAAAAAAGAAAATCAAAACATTTCATTGACTCAATATCATTTCTCGAAAAGTTACCATTTTCAGTGCCACCATTCATTGCATGACACCAGCATAAAACCATCCTTTGGCACACCGCTGTTTTACCAATACCAGCATCTCCAGTTATGTATATGTTCTGAACTGGCTCCCCATCTCTACAAAATATATCAGTATATGAATTTACCGCTGAATAACGTGAACAAACTCTGTGGTAATCCACAACTCGCAAGGTTGGCAATACATAGAACGAAAGAAGTGGTGCATCCTCATCTTCAAACAAAGCAGATATTGGAAGTGTGGAGCATTCTTTTTCATACGACTCTTGCAGCTGTTTACGCATCTCTGTTTAAGAAACATAAAATATGTAACCGATAATATATCTCTGTTTAATGAATATGAAATATGTAACCGGTAATCTGTGATATTACATATTCTTACATTTTATTTTGATAGCACACACACACACACACACACACACACACACACACACGCGCACGCACGCACGCACGCACAAACACACGCGCGCACGCATACACACATATATCCGATATAGGTTTGAGGTACAAAAATAGCAAAATCAAGTATTTTGAAGTTTACTTTAAATATTTTATTATTTATTATTTAATAGTCCATTTCCAATCTGCTTAAAAATGTTAAAACTAAAAGGTGAAACTTAAATGTACAATGGGAAATGTCTTACTACGTTTCCGCAATTCCTTGCACTTTTCGGAGATGGATTCTATATATGTTTCTACTGATTTGAAGTCTGTGTTTGGTCTTGATTCTATAAGTTTTACTGCATGTATCATCAATTTGATTTTTTCAGTTTTTTCAATTTTCCCCTGTACATCGTTTTCCTCTAAGGAGCTAGTGTTCAGGAATGTATATATGTCACTGAGTGAAGTGTGGATGTACCATTTGGAATCTTTAAGCTATCAATTAAAAGAGAAAATAGTAATCTAAACAAGGTAGGATACTATGTCATCGCTCACCTGCAAAATGCTCTCTAATTGTGTGTGTGCGCGCGCGCGTGCGTGCGTGCGTGAGTGCAGGCGTGCGTGCGTGTGTGTGTTTGTTTGTTTTTTGTCGATTTGAAGATGAAAAAATTTTATTCAAAGAAATCGTTAAAATATCAAATGTAGCGTACCAAAGAATTGTATTTATTTAGTACTTGATACAATTTAAATCAACGTTCAAAGTTTTACTGCATAGTTTAGGCCTGAAACGAGATAAAGTTTTTCTTATCCTAAATGCTTTCACTTGGGACTCTCAAACAAAAATTATCTTAAACCATACAGTAACTTACATCAAGTCCTAAATTTGGTGCGCTACATTATTTTTTGATATTCTAGTGATTTCTTAGAAAAAAAAAATTCATCTTCAAGTCGACAGATTGAATGGGAGCATTTTGCAGCTGCGCGATACGTAGTATCCTACCATTGTAAGAGAACAATTAAAATGAGTGAATATCAAATACGAAAATATTCGTTTTAAGAATAATAAATGCTCTAAACAAAGCTGATAACAAAGAGAAACTAAAACAGAGGAATATATATTTCTATAACTATCCATTTGCTACAATTTCATATATTAATTTATACAAAAATCATTATGATTTTAAGTAGCGGTAAACATATTTACCTCTAAAATATTTTTAATTGCATCTTGAGCCTCTTTTGTTTGTGCTATCGGTTGAACCTCAAGACAACTTATCAGGACAGAAAGGATATTTTCAAATTCGTCATCATCAATTTCATACGTGGCTTCGTGTCTTACCTTATTTGAAAATGTTCTTGCCTGTTTTTAATACAAATTAAGAAAAAAATATTTTGCTTTAATGATGAGTAATTTTAAGAAGGGGCAAACCAAAATCATGTGGCTATATCATTCATTTACTTAATATACAATGTAGTTCGATGTTATCAAAGTATCACACAAATCCTTACAGTCAATGTGTACATTTACTATTTGTGATTTACGTATCTCAGTTATTTAAAAGAGTCTCAAACGGTAACGTTTTCAAGATGAAATCAATAATCTTTATTGTTTCTTGGCTTGTTAAACCATATTATGAATCTTAAAAAAACGATGTACATGTTAATGGTTACAATTTCGACTGAATGGATTTCACCACGGAAAAGAAATTGATTTTACCACGTTTAAATGAATTGATTTAAATTCCTGAAAATGTGATGAAAATTTTTTACATAGAAATTAATATGCACACTATGCTGTAAGCTGAATAAAATGAAATCTAAAACAAAAAGATTGGCCTAGTAGTTTAGCAATATTTATCAGTGCATTTGGTTTAGAGAAGAATATCGAACTAGCTTTGAGCTTTATGCATAAAAATCGACTTTCTTTCTTTGAACATTGAATATAGACAACAGATTCTTTTCGATCAAAAATCTAAAATGACCAAACACAAATGTATCATTTGAGTTTCGGGCAAATATATCACAGCCGTGTTTCATATTCGATCCGAGATATATACAGCTTAACAATGACAAACAATATTTTATTAACCGTAAAAGACATTAATGAAACAAAACAAAAATCAGTTAAAAACTTACAGTTTGTTTGGAACATATGTAAATATATACCTTTTGAAATATTTTGTCTGGCTGTTTTGGATCAGCTGAAAATTTTCGGGCAAAAATCTTGTTATTCAATATCACACTTAAAACACCATTTAAATCTGTCTCCTCTATTGTCCTTTTGGTGCTGTATCCATGTTCTGGCATGTAACACTTGGCTATTTGCCAAGGATCACTGCACCATTGCCTTGCATCAGTGTTATTCCATGAAGGTGCTTTGTGTTTGTGAGCTTTCCTTATTTCAAATAGGAATGAATTGCAAAGACCTTTCTTCGGACAATATGTATGTTGGCAACTTTTTCGTTTGCATTTCTCACATTCTTTGTCAGAAACAATAGCATTTGTTGAGCAGTCTGAACACTTAGTGTCTAGTTCTAAATCAAGTTGTTTCAAAATATTGATGTATGTGTCCCTTTGAAAACTATTGATTTCATCAGATACAAATCTTTTAAGACCATTTCTTGTGTACATTAAGCCTAGATTCGACTTCAACCAGTTGTGGAAGTTCTTTTTCGATGGCTTGGACTCCATTCTGCATGTCGCCATAGAAATGACTGTATTGGTTAATGGTATGCTGTATCACACATCTTGTCTTTGAAATGCTACAAATATAGTTTAAAAAATTAAGAACAGAGATGAAAGGGCAAGGCGACGTTCACAGAACGAAGCTCCAGAAACAACCCAGCCACACTGACAGGGCACCCAGATGGCACCGGACCGAAATGGGAAACGGCACAAGGACGGAGGAAGGAGGAAAGTTACATACCAATCATTATTACAATTAACACTTTAGTAAGAGAAATGATAAAAACAAAAAGGGATGATGCGGATAAGGTAGCGTATCGGAAACAGAGAGAGGCACAACATGAAAAATCAGGGAAAATTGAAAAGAAATACCGCTGCTGGCGACAAAAAGCAAGACAGGACATTACAGAACGCGTAACCATACAAAACATGTACACAAGACATACGTATGAAAGAATACAAATGGATACCGCGTTGGAACGGTAAGTAGTAACAACACTGCTCGCGACATTAAACTGTTTTAGGCGGGCCAAACCTCACTCGTATGGGGCCGTCACACCATGACGTTCTGGTTAGCGTTCTATGGCGTTTTGGGAAACGTTGTAAGTCGCCCATGATTGCTAGGATAGCGCCAGAAGAACGTTGTGTGAACGCCAGTGAACGTCTGTAATCGCCGGGAATCGGCGTGGAACGCTGGTCCGGAAAAAAGTTTTGAACATGCACAAAAGTTCTCACTCAGACCAGCGTTCTTCAACATTTAAATTTCAAACGCTGAAGAACGTTTAAGAACGTTCATGGAACGTTTACCTAATTTTTACTGAGCGTTGTACACGTTCGTCTATCGAAATACAGCCGTTACTCAATCGCTACTTGGTTGTTACTAATCGTTTGCTTTGCAGTGAACGACTCACTGATGACTCTCAGACGACCTATCAACGACCGTTGAACGGTCTTCAATCGCACAAAACGTGTGACTAAAGGTAAAAGAACGTCCTTTTCGCATCCATTGAGCGTCATTTATGCGTCATTTGACCGTTTCACGAACGACAATGCATATGTAAAAAGCAAGGTTCATTTGACTTTGGGCTATTGTAGAGAACACCTACTATGAAAGATCCTGAAAGATTAAGTAGGTTATATATGTTTGCTATAGCTAAGCATCAAGTAGATGTACTGAATTTTAACATAGCTGATCATATCGAGGGAAATCATCCGCAGAGAAGACCCCAGACATTCATCCACAGAGAAGAAGACCCCGACAATGACGACAGTGTTGGACTAAATCATAAATATAAAGAAGTCAAGGATTTGGAAATACAAAATGTAGCTGGTAGAAGCCCTCATCCCAATCTTTTTTATGACCCCGGGCATATAGTGATTGAACCGTCCGTCCGTCTGTCCGTACGAGGTTAACCTAGAACGGCAAGTTGGATTTTTCTTAAGTTCTACTTGTACTAATGGCTTCTAAGTTTACACACTTACTAATCAATACAAAGTACATGATCTGGGCGAGTTACATAACTCTGGCTTTCACATTTACCAAGTTATTGCCCTTTTCAGCACTTAGAAAATGAATAATGGTTAACCTAAAACGGCAAGTTGGAAATATCTTAAGTTCTATCTATACTAATGGCTTTTTAATTTCCACACTTACTTATCAATACAAAGTACATGATATTGCCAAGTTATATAACTGTGTCATCCATATTTCCCAGTTATTTCCTTTTTTTCACTTTGAAAATAGGGCCCTGTCTGGTTAACCTATTTCAGATCTTAAATTCCTCCTTATTGCTTAATTTCTTGAATGATATCTTTCATATTTAGTAGGTGGATACCTTTGATGGTAAGCAGTCTCTAGGGTCAAGGTCAAGGTCACTGGTTTAAAAATATAAATTTAAACATTGTTGCTCATACAGCCTTTATATTTTAGTTGATGTCTTAGTTTAATACAAACATGCAACGGAAGGACCTCCTTCTTTGGGTGTAGTAAGGGGTCATATGGGCCAAGGTCAATGTTACCAATGTCAAGGTCACCAATGTTAAAAATAGATTTTTACATTTTTACAGGTGTAATGACCTTATTCTATAGACAGATGTTATTTATAATTGATAGAAACATAAACTTTGATGGAGTTAGTGGTCAGTTGGGTCAAGGTCACCAGTGCTAAAAATAGATTTTTTACACATTTGCTCATACAGCCTTTATTAAGTGACAGATATATTTTATATTTGGTAGGAAAATAACTTGCATGGTATTCATCCTTTTGATTGGGGTAGGGATCAGTGGGTCAAGGTCACTTGTGCTTAAAATAGATTTTTTACACTTTTGCCCATACAGCTTTTATTTATTGACAGGTGTATTTCATATTTGGTAGGAAGATAACTTGCATGGTATTCTTCCATTGAATGGAGTAAGGGGTCAGTTGGGTCAAGGTCACCAGTGCTAAAAATAGATTTTTACACTTTTGCCAATACAGCCTTTATTTATTGACAGATGTATTTCAAATTTGGTAGGAACTACTAGGAAGATAACTTACACGGTATTCTTCTTTTGGATAGAGTTAGGGGTCAATTTGGTTAAGGTCACCAGTGCTAAAAATAGATTTTTACACTTTTGCCAATACAGCCTTTATTTATTGACAGATGTATTTCATATTTGGTAGGAATATAACTTACATGGTATTCTTCTTTTGGACAGAGTTAGGGGTCAGTTTGGTTAAGGTCACCAGTGCTAAAAATAAAAGGTCAACAGTGCTAAAAATAGATTTTTACACTTTTGCCCATACAGCCTTTATTTTATGACAGATGCATTTCATATTTGGTAGGATGATAACTTGCATGAAGTTGAATATTTTTCAACTTCATAAGTCACAGCAATGACTTGGCAACTTATATTTTTCACAATTACAAAATGCCATGTCTTTGTCAAGCTATATAACTTGTGTTTACAATTTTTTAGCAATTTTTCTGTCCATAACTGAGTGAATGGGTAAACGTTTTTTGAAGTATTGCTACTGACAAGAATCTGAGCCGGGGGCATTTGTGTTTAACAAACACGTTCTTGTTCCTTGTTGTCATGATGCTGACTATTCAAACACACAACAACTATGAAATTTCCAGCGTTCTGTACCCGTTTAGCCGTAAAAATCAACACGCTATCAAGACGCTTTTGTGTCGTTATTGACGCGTTAACCAAACGCTCACAACGCTCGTCAGGCGTTGACAAATAGTTCGTCCCGCGCCAGTGCGCTTATGGGTTTCAGACGTATCCTACTTCGTCGCTGTTACACGTTTCTCGTGCGTTAGACACACGCTAGTTTTACGTTAGAAGCAAGTTAATCACACGCTAGATGTGTCAATTTCATTCAAGAACGTTCAAAAATTGAATGATTGAAACGTTCAGAGAGCGTTGACCAGAACGTCATGGTGTGACGGACCCTTAGTCCAAATATATCCTATATGACGAGATTGTGTTAATAACATGAATCTTGGGAGTTTGTAAAACAATTGTCATAGTAACAATAAACAAAATAAGAAAACATAATAATGATACAAAGAGATACAACCAACTGACAATAACCAGTGGCCAATAAGTACCCGATGGCTTAAAAGAAGGCAGTGCATGCAACAAGAAAATTGACCCCTTTCTGTTATTCAATGACCGAGTAACGCGTGAAAAAAGTGATAATGTGTTCCGTTAAATATCAGCTCGTTGAAAATTTTTCAAAGGATTTTGATCAATTTTTAACCCCTTCCCGTTATTTAATGACCCACTTACGCTTGCAAAAATGACCCCTGTTGAAAAAAAATCAACTATACATAGGCCATTCTCACACAAAAATAATATTGCCAAACATGCCTTTATATGGTCCTACCCATGGAACAGTAATAAAAGTAATGAATATTTATTCATTTTATTCAAGTGAACCAGCAGCTATTAACAATTTGTCAATCCACCATGGACAGCTATTTGGTTTTTATGTAGTGAACTATAATATAAGATTACATATGAAGAATAATTTATACATATTATTTATGTTTTTCCGCTTTTAAAGGGAGTCCCCACCTAGAATTAGTCATAGGAATTCTGGAACAGGACCGCATATTGTGACGCATAAATCCGAATCCGTGCTGGCTTTACATATTGTTTGTCCGACCTTTGAATATCTTTTTATATTATGCGAGTAGATGGTCTTTAATTATATAATCTCAATTTAATATAATCTGCTAATTTAAAAATCAGTCAAATTTACGGTATATTGAAAAAAGAAAAGTGTCATCCGCCATTTACCGCAACGTTCGGCGTAAGTTATCCCCCTAGATATGCTTGATTTTTGTTTTAATTTTTCTAGTACTCTCTTTATGTCACTAAACACATGGAAAACTTTCACATTTCCTAGTAATGAATACCAGATGAGTGCCTACAATATTTATCTATGGATAATGTTTTAATATTCCTTTTTCAGTTAGGCAAAATCAGTTGGACCATATTACTAAAGTGTCTGTTTTCTCCATGTTAACAAACCAAAACACAAATACGCCCGTTATATTGCCGCCTATACATGTCAACACGTGTAAACAATAAACCGTAAATAACGGGAACAAAATTCTGAAAAAAATAGTAATCAATTGTAGCCAAAGGGGAAAAACTCATGACAAAAACGTTGCGGCAAATCCTTGTCTTTTTTTATAATACCGTAAAATTTGACCAGTTTTAAAAGAGACAGATTGGGTTCAATTGATATTTATTTTTTGAGGCCATATACTCGGACCATACTAAAAGATGTTTAGATGAAGCAGAAATGTTTTTAAAAACCGTTACACGATCGAAAATTTGCGCCGCAATCTGCGGTCCCGTTCTCAAGTTCCTATGGTATGACTGCCTTCAACTGTTAAAAATGTTTAAAAGTTAAAACCCAATATATCCTCTTAGAATGAAAATTAACTCAAGGATTTACAACAGGCATACGTATATGTTCATGTACTCGTTTTTCAATCTCGCATAAAGGACCATGCGTTCATAGTACAGTACAATTTTTGTATCTTCTGTTCTGATCAGGGTAAGTTACCAGTGCTA